GCTCCGAGCCGGAGCCCAGGGCCGCGCTCCCGTCCCAGGACCGGAGGGCCTGAGGCCGCGCGCCTGGCCGGTTCCAGCCGGTCCCGCCCACCCCTCTCCTTGCCCTCGCCCCGGCTCACCATCTCCCAGCTTCCGGAGACCGTCGGCTCCTCTCCGCCGAAACCCCGACGCCCGGGACCAGGCAGGGTACCCACGAAACCTGGGCACGGCGACGGCGCGCAGCTTGGACTCTCGGAGGGTGGGCGGTGCGCCGTCCCGCCCTCGAGGCTTCTGATTGGGTGGTTTCCCAGGTCCCGCCCCCGCGTTAGTGAGTGACGTGAGCGCGCGCAAATCATGGGCAAAGGTGTCTGGGCTTCCTCCCGCCCCCGGGACGCCCGCTTTTGACGCAAGCGGTCCAGCCCCAGACGGACACCGGTCTCTCGCAGCTCGGTGGTTTTCTGCGGCTCTTTCTGGCCGTGGGGACTTCGGCGTGCTCCAGTCTCGGGACGGGGACAGGGGTCTGACGGGGCTACCTTGGAAATTGCGCCCATTTGTGACAGACACGAGGGCACCAAGGTCATATTAAACCGAGACTCATGGCCCTCCAGTCTTTCCCAGCTCACCCCATTGCCATATAGCGGCCCTATAGGCCCTATACTGCCTCTGTGGGTTTCCAAGCCTTTCCTTTCCTGGTGCTTTGAGACGGCTGACCTTGCAGTAAACACACCGCAGAACCACTATGCACCGGCCGCTGTAAGGGCAGAGTAGAACTTCCCATAGGATGGTCTTGGCTGCGATCCGTAGGGAAGCAACTTCAGTTTGGCCACTGAACTTTGCAATTAGCAATTTAGCACCTAATTGTTGCACACTGCATGGCGCCCACTGTCAACTCCAAGATGGTCGAGTCCTGCCCTGGGGAGGGTTGGGCCCCAACAATAACCACTCCAAGTTGCGCCAAGAACTGAGAGAAAATTTATTAGAAGACCGATCCCCAGAAAACATTCTCACAGTCACCAGGACTGTGGCTGAATGCTTCCCAGCTAGCAAAGATGACGAAATCTTTTTATACCTGGCTCTTCTCTGACAAGG